AGAGGCAGCAAGAGACAGAGAGAGGTTTTCCATCCACTGGTTCACTCTCCAAATGGCCACAACGGCGGGAGCTGAACTGTAAGGTGTCCGGCGCGCAACAAATCTTCCCAGGCAGACCAGTCAATTAATTCACAGGCTTTTATTGGGGTTCCGCTCCTGGGCGAGGTTCCGTGGTCCCAACAGAGCAGGCCGGGGAAGTCGCACGTCAGAGATTGGGAGAGCTCCTTTTATAGATTCAGGGCATGGGAGTTAAAGGTTGAGGCGGGTCTGATCCTGATTGGTTGACCTTTAGGCACCCGCAGGGACCTTGACAAGGACTTTCTTCTCTCCATTCCCGGAAGTGTAGGCCTTCCCTCCCTGCGGATCCCAAAGCTACCATGAACCAATCCAAAGCCAGGAGCCAGGAGTTTCTTCCAGGTCCCCCACTTGGTTGCAAGGGCCCAAGGACTTGGGCCATCTTCCACTGCTTTTCTAGGCTACAGCAGAGAGCTGGATGGGAAGTGGAGCAGCCGGGACTCAAACTGGCACCCATGTGGGATTCTGGCACTACAGGTAGTGGCTTTACCTGCTACGCCACAGCACCAATCCTTTTATTTATTTTGAAAGGGTTAGAGAGGGAGGGAGAGTCGGGGGTGGGGATCTTCCCTCCACAGGTTGGTTCCCCAGATGACTGCAACAGCCAGTGCTGAACCAGGCCGAAGCCAGGAGCTTCATCCAGGTCTTCCACATGGGTGACAGGGCCCAAGCACTTGGGCCATCTGGTTTTCCCAGGCCATTAGCTTGGAGCTGAATTGGGAGTGGGGTAGTGGGGACAGGAACTGGTGCCCATATGGGATTCCGGTGGCACAGGCAGTGGCTTTGTCTGCTGTGCCACAGTGTTGGTCCTAAAACCTCAGCCTTTAAACCCTAAGTGACACTGAGGTCAGGGCTAACTCTAGTGAGGAGTGGAGTAGTGGAGATTGGTGTTCTGGGTGAACATAGAAAGACAGCATCGAAGGGAATAACTGGGTGAACCAGGGCCAGGAAAGAAAAGGGCCAAGTTGATCATAAATGTAAGCTATGAGCCACCTGTCACTTTCGTCATAGCCTTGTATCAGCTCTGCTCTGATAAATTGGTTGCTTCCTGATGTCAGGAGGAGGCAGTGCCCATCAGGGCTTCAGTGGAGGGGACTTGGAGTGGCCTAGCGCAGGCCCTGAGAAGTACTCATAAAGGAGGGTTTGGGGTGGGCATTGTGGCACAGCCAGTTCCGCTGCCACCTGGGAAGCCTGCCGCCACATCAGAGTGCCGGTTAGTGTCTTGGCAACTCTGTTTCTAATACAGCTTCTTGCAAATGTGCCTGTGAGGGCAGCAGATGACAGCCCAAGTACTTGGGTCCATTCCACCCACATGGGAGACCCAAATGTTCTGGGCTCCTAGCTTTGGCCTTTCCCAGCCCTGGCAGTTGCGGGCATTTTGGGGAGTGAACTGGTGGATGGAGGATCGCTCTCTCTCTCTTTTTCTCTGTGTCATTCTACCTTTCAGATAAGTAAGTATATAAATACATCTTAAAAAGACAAACAAGGAAGGAATAGGCCCGAGCCTTAGGAATCATAGCCGCAAGTGCAGACCGTATGTTGATTCCTGTCAATCGGAACCTCAGGGTAGGCTTGGAAACCCCTAACCCAGAAGGTGTGAGCCTTTCTTTTTTTTTTTTTTTTTTTAAATTTTTATTTTTTTAATTTTTTTTTTAATTTTTTTTTTTTTTTATTTTTTTGACAGGCAGAGTGGACAGTGAGAGAGAGAGACAGAGAGAAAGGTCTTCCTTTGCCGTTGGTTCACTCTCCAATGGCCGGCGCGCTGATCCGATGGCAGGAGCCAGGAGCCAGGTGCTTTTCCTGGTCTCCCATGGGGTGCAGGGCCCAAGCACCTGGGCCATCCTCCACTGCACTCCCTGGCCACAGCAGAGGGCTGGCCTGGAAGAGGGGCAACCGGGACAGAATCCGGCGCCCCGACCGGGACTAGAACCCGGTGTGCCGGCGCCGCTAGGCGGAGGATTAGCCTAGTGAGCCGCGGTGCCGGCCCTTTTTTTTAATTTTTAAAAAGACTTGAATTTATTTGACAGGCAGAGTGACAGATGGAGAGACGGAGGTCTTCCATCCTCTGGTTCACTCCCTCAGTGGTTGCAACAGCTGGGGCTGGGCCAGATCTAAGCCAGGAGCCTGGAACTCCATCTGGGGCGGCTCAACCCGCTGAACCACCATGCTGGCCCGTGAACTTTTCCTAAAACATCTGGTGCGGTCCTATCAGCCCGCTCCCCGGAGCAGGAGACCCATTTGCTAGGGTGTATGAAAATTCATATTTCTTTTCTTTTAAGCACGTTTTTGCCAATCTGATAACCAAAATATTTCATTATTGCCTTGATTTGCATTCCTTTGATTTGTTGGAGAGTTCATCTTTCCTATTTTCCTTTGCCCATTTTTAAAATTAGGTTTTAATGTTTATCTTAAATGTGAACTTCTCTTCGTAGGGTAGGATAGGGTTTTTTTTTATTGCAGTTTTGGCAAAGCTTTTCTTGCAGCTGTTTACTTTCTGATTTTCATGTTTTGAATATGCAGGTTTTTTACATTTTTAGCATCAGATGTGTTACTACTTTCCTTTGTGAATTTTTCCATTGTTTGAGTGTTCAGGACGGAGCATTCTGTCTGTTGTAAAGATTTATTAATGACACATCTGTGTTTCATCTTCTTTTATAACACCTTTTAAAAAACTCTCTTTATGTGGCATTGACCCTGATTTATTATTTGAGGCAGGGCTGTATTTGGAATTTTTCTCTTATTAATTGAGCATGCCATCATTTTCTAATCTGCTTGTGGTTTTTTCTTTATGAACTTTATGTTACTTCAAGTACTCCTATCTGTTTAAGGATTCTCTAATCCATGAGAATATGCAAAGGAGAGATTTTAGTGAGTAAGGCATTACGTAAACACCTTTAGAAAGCTTGTTTGATTGTGTAGACAGCGTTATTGTGTGTTACCTATGATCTAATGTACAACGTGAAAGCAAGTTACAGAGACGGGGTTAGATTCTGCATGGAGGAATGACCGCCCTTCGTATTGCTCACGTTGGGGGTGCACCTGCATTCTGGTGTTCCTTCATCAAGAACTAACGAGCGTCGAACCCAGCAGTTCAGGCCAGTTGGTCTTTTTCAGGACACTGTCCTTACTTGTGCTTAGGGAATGCTGCCTGGAAGAGGAATGTCAACCATGCACAGGTTTGTCCTCTGCTAAACAGGGCCTGTTTGTTGGCTTGGAAAGGTATGGAAATGCTGACTTAGCGGGAGGACCATAAGATCCATGGCTTCCATGATAGAGCTAATCTAAACCCTAAAGTAAGTGTGGTTTACAGAGTAATGCATGTAGATTGGTCCTATAGAATTGCTAATTTTCAACCAATGCCGTGGGTGCACCCTAATACTCAGATCTATACACTAAAATAGCCAAGTCAACAGGGATGGAATTCTCGTGTTTTGTTTTTTTTTTCTCAGTCTTTCTGTGATTCCACCCTTAAATAAGCAAGAAGTGTTAAATGCAGTAAGAATTGGAGTGACAGACCAACTTGTAAAATGCCAATGCCATGAAGCTATTTTATGTGAGTGTGAAACCCACTTTTCTAAGCCTGTAATAGCGTTCCTGGCAAGTTTGTGATCCAGCACCTCTGTGAAACAGGTCAAAACTGAAATATGTAAAGGATTTTGAGGGGCTGGCAACCGTGGCATAGTGGGTAAAGCCGCCGCCTGCAGTGCCAGCATTCCATATAGGCGCCACTTCCGATCCAGCTCTCTGCTATGGCCTGGGAAGGCAATGAAAGATGGCCCAAGTGCTCAGGCCCCTGCACCCACGTGGGAGACCCAGGAGAAGCTCTTGGCTCCTGGCTTCGGATTGGCTCAGCTCTGGCCATTGTGGCTACCTGGAGAGTGAACCAGTGGATGGAAGACCCCTATCTCTCTGTCTCTGTCTCTTTGTAACTCTGCTTTTCAAATAAATAAATAAATCTTTTTTTTTTTTTTAAAAAGGATTTTGAAAGCATCAAAGAATTAATACCAGTTTAGAATGCCAAGGTTCTTTATTTCTTGGTTTTGAAAGATCTGTTTTTTCATCTGTTTTTTTTTACTGTAGTGCATCTAGAATAGACATAGGAAGAAAGCAGAAAGTTTCAGGTATTTGGCCTAAAACCTTGAGTAGCTGATAAGACCTCACCTCCACAAAACATGAAACTTCTTCACGGAGGTCATTCCCAGAAGTCACCTATGAGGACACCTGTGGAACTTTAAGGCTGAATTGTGGATTGCAGCCGCATGTCCTGGAGGACTGTTCTAGAAGCTCACAGCTCTCACCGCAACTGCACATATGTTCTGTATCCCCTGTCTCCTGCCTGCTTCCCCGGAAGTGTGTAATAGCCATGCAGGAAGGACTTGGCTTCTGTTCACTGCTGGGTCCTGGAGCCGCGTGCAGCTCTAGCGGCTCTCCGTACATACTTGGTGAAAGTACGAGGCTGTATGTGCGTAAACGGATAGGCCCACCCCGTTAGGTCTCTTTAACTCAATGTAAAACATGCTAATAATATCTGAGAGGCGCTGGTCCTCTTGGGAGGTCTGGGGCCAAGTCAAGATGTGCTTGGAGTTGCAAGGACTGGAGAGACAGGACAGGAAGCCTGCTGCGCGGTCCTTGGCCTTCCTAAAGAGGAGGGCAGGGGCAGCTCTGTTTCCAGCCATGTGACTTGAGAGGTTGTTAGGAGCTGGCCCAGCCATGAGGTTTGTATCCTTGGTGTTTGGGGGCACAGACTGCCTTTTCCACGCAAAAGTTTGTGTGTAGCTCAATTTAACTTCTACAGTACTCTTTCAAGGGCGAGAAATAATGAAAAGAAGAAGAAGAAAGTGCATGGATGGGCAGGCACCCCTGGGCTGTGTGGATTGGAGGGTCCGGCCCGGGCACTCAGAAGTCTGCCTTCTGTCCTCTTCCAGGGCCTTCGCACCTCCTGAGGCATGGCGTGTCCGTGGTGGAGAGTGGGCTTTGGCGCCTGTCTCCTGAAAAGGCAGCTGAGCCGTGGGCCCAGTGTCATCGGATGGGAAAAGGGGGTAATTCTAGGACTCAGCAGAAGTATCTACAGCGCCACGGGAAAGTGGACCAAGGAGTACACGCTGCAGACAAGAAAGGATGTTGAGAAATGGTGGCATCGGCGGATACGCGAACAGCCGTCCAGTCTTTCAGAAACGGACGTGAGTATCCTGAGACGTTGCAAGAGGGAGGCGGAGGGGGGCGAAGGGCTCGGACTCCGGGGTCAGGCTGCCTGGGGTCAGCGACAGTCCAGACAGAGACCTCTTCAGTGAAAGGCCTCATGTTGAGGGTGCTCCAAGACGTTTGGATGATTGAATTAAAAGATGCATTTTGGTGCTAGAACATTGGAAATCCAGGCGTGAGGGAAGGGGTCTTCAAAAAGTTCGTGGAGAATGTGTGTATATGTTGGTACCCAAATAAACTTAGCATGTAATTCCATCTTCCTCTGACATTCTGAAGCACTGGCACGCGTGGTGGCGGCCCTAGCACGGAGCACTCCTCATGTGTCTGTGCTGATGCTGGCGTGAACAGACCTGCTGTGCTGCCAGCTGTATAAAGTGTAGCACATACAGGGCCAGCGTTGTGTGTGGCGGGTAAAGCTGCCGTCTGTGATGCCAGCATCCCATATGGGCACCGATTCAAGGCCCAGCTGCTCCACTTTTGATCTAACTCCCTGCTAATGCACCTGGGAAAGCAGAGGAGGGTGGCCCAAATACTTGGGCCCTGCACCCACGTGGGAACCCTGGAGGAAGCTTCTGGCTTCTGGTCTCAGCCTGGCCCAGCCCCGGCTGTTGCAGCCATTTGAGGAGTGAACCAGCAGATAGAGGATCTCTCTGGCACTCTCTCCCTCTATAACTCTGCCTTTCAAATAAATAAATCTTTATAGAATATACAATTATAATACTTGATAATAAATGTTACTGGCTTATGTATTTACTATTTATCGTTGCTTCAGAAGGCACTTCTACTGATTGTTTTTTTTTTTAAGTTGACAGTGAAGTGGCCTCCAGCAGATCCTTCAGGAGGTGTCATGGGAGAGGTTGTCATGGGAGATGACCCTGAAAACCTGTCAGGAGAACAGGATGTGCAGGTAGAAGACCCTGTGCAGGCCAGGCCAAGTGTGTGTTTGTGTCTTAGTTTTTTTTTTTTTTTTTTTTTTTTTTTTTTTTTAATATTTATTTATCTATTTGAAAGGAAGAGTTATAGAGAGGCAGAGGCAAAGAGCAAGAAGTCTTCTGTTCTCTGGTTCACTCCCCAGAAGGCCACAATGGTCTGGGCTGAAGCCAAGAGTCAGGAGCCAGGAGCTTCTTCTGGGTCTCCCATGCAGGTGCAGGGGCCCAAGGACTTGGGCCATCTTGTGCTACTTTCCCAGGCCATAGCAGAGAGCTGGATCGGAAGAGGAACAGCCGGGTCTTGAACTGGTGCCCACATTGACTGCTGGCACTGCAGGTGGTGGCTTTACCTGCTACACCACAGCTCCGCCCCCCCTACCTTTTTTTTTTTTTAAGATTTATTTTATTTATTTGAAAGGCAAAGTTAGAGAGAGATACAGGGAGAGATACAGGGAGAGATACCCAAATGGGTACAACAGCTAGGGCTGGACCAGACTGAAACTAGGAGCCTAGAACTCCATCCAGGCCTCTCATGGGGGTGGCAGGGGCCTAAGCACTTGGGCCATCTTCTGCTTTCCCAGGCACATTAGCAGGGAGATGGATTGGAAATGGAGCATCTGGGTCTCTGACTGGCGCTCATGTGGGATGCCAGTATTGCAGTGGCTTAACCTGCTGCACCACAACTTAGGTCCCTGTGTGTTACTTTTTTTAAAAAAATTTTTAAGGTTTATTTATTTATTCAAAAGGCAGAGAGTTATAGAGATGCAGAGGCAGAGGGAGGGAGGGAGGGAGGGAGGGAGGTGGAGAGAGAGAGAGAGAGAGAGCAAGTGAGAGAGGTCTTCCATCTGCTAGTTCGCTCCCCAAATGGCCACAGCGGCTGAAGCTGGGCTGATCCAAAGCCAGGAGCCAGGAGCTTCTTCTAGGTTTCTATCTGCCACTGCTTTCCCAGGCCATTAGCAGAGCTGGATTGGAAGTGGAGCAGCCGGGACTCGAACTGGCGCCCATATGGGATGCCTGCGTCAGCCCCTGTGTGTTACTTTTTTTTTTTTTTTTTTTGATAGGTAGAGTTATAGACAGAGAGACAGAGAGAAAGGTCTTCCTTCCATTGGATCACTCCCCTAATGGTCGCTGCGGCTGGAGCTGTGCCATTCCAACAGGCGCTTCCTCCAGGTCTCCCATGCGGGTGCAGGGGCCCAAGCACTTGGGCCATCCTCCACTGCCTTCCCGGGCCACAGCAGAGAGCTGGACTGGAAGAGGACCAGCTGGGACTAGAACCTGGCACCCATATGGGATGGTGGCACCGAAGGCAGAGGATTAACCAAGTGAGCCACAGCACCGGCCCCTGTATGTTACTTTTTAACACAGAAAGTTTGAAAAAAAAAAAAAAAACAAAAAAAGCTTATTGAATAAGGATATAAAAATATTTTTGTGCAACTATATAATTGCGTTTTAAGCTAAGCACTAAAAGAGTCAGAAACTTTAAAGCAATTAAAAATAATTTATGTTACTGGAGGAAAACAGATTTTAAGAAGTGTGGTGCAGTCCAAGCGTGCCGTGTTTCTACCGTGTACCATAGTGTGCGGTAAGGTGCTGCCTGGGCCCTCGCCCTTACTCACCGCTCACGCACGGGCGCTCCCAGAGCAGCTCCCCATCCTGTGAGCTCCGCTCCAGGTAGGTGTCCTACAGAGGTGCGGCGCCTTCGCCCTTTCGTCCTGGATTGTTACTGTGCCTTTTCCGTGTTTAGCGATGCTTCGGTGCACGAGTGGATGCCACGGTGTTACAGTTGCTGCCGTGCTCAGTATAGCAGCGTCCTGGACAGGTTGGCAGCCCAGGAGCAGGCACTGCTTGCAGGCTAGATGTGTCGTAGGCTGCACTGTCGAGGCTTGTGTGAGTACACCTTGTGATTTCTCAGCAGATTTGCCTAAAACGCCCTTGTCACTGAAGCCACGCACGACTGTAAGTCATTAATAAGTCCGTGGCCTTGGGCCGAATTATTGACTCTGTCTGTGCTTTAGTTTGCTTACCTAAGGTGGAGGGTGATAGTAGCACCCATCTGCTTCCCAGGGGATTGAGGGGTAGCCGAGATGTTGGGAAGACAGTGCCCGGAGGAGTTTGCAGTGTGGTAGACGTGGCCTCGTGGTAATATTGTACACACAGAGTGCGTGGCAGACAGCACCAGCCTACTGGAAACTCATCAAGACAGGAGTACTAGCAGGTGTCAGCTCCGTTATGTGATGGGCTGGCTCACAGGGACCTGGCAGGGGGAGTGGCAGGTGCTGGGCTCTCAGCCGGCTGCTTGTTCCCAGAATGATCTGCCCCTCCCCTGGCGTGAACCCGCCACCTGTTCTGCCGCCTCGGCACACTGGGTTAGGGCGTAGCTGCCCCTGTCCTGGTGTGACCTGGGATTGGAGTCCAGCCTTGCCGTAGCAGCTCTGTGCTTCTCGTCCAGATGCACCGACTTAGCGCTTTGCCTGAATTGACTGTGAGAAGTACTTGACTGTACCTGGCTGCTCCTTCTCTGGGAGTCCAGCCTGCTGTGGCTCAATCTTGGTATTGGTCGAAATGACAAATTGTAGGTAGTATTTTTCCCATGAGGTGTTTGGGTCTGATGAGAGCAGAGCACTGTAAAAGGAGTTTTTCTCTTCAGTGGTAACCATTCCTTTGTAATAGTTTCAGCCAAATAATACACAGACTGTCTGTATAACTAATGACATTAGAGCCAGGGCAAGCTGTGGAGTAGGTGTAAGTGCACAGACTTCGCTGGAATTGCCTTTCCCCATCTTCTGATTCTCACTGTCATCACACTTACTCTTTTTTTTTTTTTTTTTTTTTTTTTATAATTTGGAAGGCAGAGTTACAGAGAGGCAGAGGCCGAGAGAGGCCGGGGGCATGGGGATCTTCCATTAGCTGGTTCACTCCCCAAATAGCTGCAGTGGCTGGAGTGGGCGATCCGAAGCCAGGAGCCTGGAACTTCTTCCGGGTCTCCCATGTCAGTGCTGGGGCCCAAGGACTTGGACCATCCTCTGTGGCTTTCCCAGGCATGTTAGCAGAGAGCTGGGTCAGAAGTGGAGCAGCTGGGACTTGAACTGACACCCATATGAGAGGCCGGTGCTGTAGGCAGTGGCTTTACCCGCTACACCACAGTGCCAGCCCCCACACTTAGTCTTTCTATTGAGACTGGTTATCATGAAAAAGGGACAGGAGAAAAGGAAGCTATTTGTGTTAATCTGCAAAGATGGCTTTTGGTGTTAGTTAGAAAATCTAGTATTGAAAGAGAAACAGTGTATAACGAGTAAAATGAAATGATAAAAAGGAAGGTTTGAGTATAATGCACAAATTTATAATGAAAGCTTGACTTTAACCTTATTAGGAAGAGAACAGCCATCATGTAAACCTGACCCGACTGATGTAACTCAGTGCATTTTGGAAACAAACTCTGGGCAACAGTTTAATTCTGAGTGAGGGGAATACAATTAGTCTCTCTCTTTTGGATTAGATTGTAATTTAGTGACTTCCAAACATTTTGAAATTGTTGATTATTGATTTTGTGGCATTTCATTCTTCCTATGCATATAGTTTTTTTTTTAATGTTAAATGGATGAAAATAAACTAAATTTCTATGATTTTGGAAATGTGGGATCCCCGGTGGGCAGTCTTTCAAGGTTTGAGTTGGGGAATAGAAAAAAGGCGAGAGGACACTCAGCGAGGAGCCAGAGCCTGGGCTGCCGTAGCGGCTGTGCCCTAGGGAACCAGCGTGCGCCCACCCAGTGATTTCATGAATACTCAGGCCGCTTGCATTGTTCATCTCACAGACTTGTTTGCAAAGTCCAATGAGAAAATGTGGCTCAACACATTTTACTCACTGAAGTGTTAAGTAAATAAGAGGATAAAAACATGTGGTGTGTTTGTATCAGAAATTGGGAGCAGGACTGACTGCTGGTTTGAAGCATTTGTAACAGCTGTCACTCTGGACTGAGATGCGTTTGAAATCCATCCATCCACAGAGTGTTTAGAAGTTGGCTGTCTCGCCGTCCTTACCGTAACCATCATTCAAGAAGGAACCTGTGTTCCTTGCTGCTGTACATTTTGTGTCTCTGGGGTCTTGGTGAAGGATCCCAAGATGGCTTTCCGGTGAAATGATATCCCAACACCAGAAGGCCATTACTCACTCCTGACATCCAGGAATGAGACCCTCAGATCTTAGTGTACCTGAGGATCCACCCGCTGTCGACTGGCCCCCTAACAAGGCCACCGTGGCCACGGCCAGCTTGGGGGGTGACTGTGGGGAGGGGTTCAGTGCCCGTGGATTCCTGTGCACAGGTGGGCACTGAAGAAAGTGACTGAGGAGTGTGCACAGAACAGAATCCCCTGGGACAGATGACCACTGCGGACTGGAGTGAAGTCTCCCCAGAAACCCAGAGAGACAAGGAGGAGTTTCCCTCTTGGCTTCCCCAGCTGATCAGACATTTATAAGATTGAGTCTGGGAGGAGGTTTGGCCTCTAGATCCCAAAGCTTGTACATTAAAAATAAAAGTCACACGGTTCTGAAAACAGAGAAAGAACTGAATGTTTGGCCTGTGCCAGGCACCGTCTTTGCATTGATTATCTCATTTAATCCTGAAGCCACCTTGAGGGTCCTTGTCCTTATTCTCATTTGGGGCAAGGAAATTGAGGCTCAGCGGGAGGTGTGCTCGCTTGCCTGCGTTCACAGCTGGTAGGATGCGGAGGGGATGGAGTCAGGACTGCCCCCAGATGTGATGCGTTCCTGGGCTCCTGCTTTTCCCCAGGCCTTCTTTTGCCTGGTTTTTGATGAACAGAGAGGCACAAGCTCCTGCTCCTCACAGCGGGTGGCAAAGCTCTGGCCCTGCCGCCACCTGCACGGAGGTGTACCTTTTGTTCTGCCGTGGGCTGGCCCAACCACAGCTTCTGGGCGTGAGTGGTGAAGAGATAGAAGTCGTTTGTCTTCTAAAGGCAGAAACTGACAAAAATAATAGGACCCACTTATAACAGTCAGCTTCTCCTGTCGCTTGCAATCTTAATTTCTTTTAAAGGCCTGACTTCTTCCACTTTTATGTAATTATGAAAATTTCCCTTTCAATCAAATTCTTGCTCAATTATAGCATAAACTCTTAGAATTTCTTCTCCCCTCTCCACCCGCAGATGATCAAACTCATTTCATCGTCACAGAAGAAAATGACTTAATTCACGCAGAAAAGCAAAAGGCAGGGACCGAGTAGGCTGAAAACCTTCTCACCATAAACAGCGCAGTTCATGAATATGAAAGACTTTGGCCAGCAGTATCGTGCTGTTCATCTTTCATAAACTCAGCTTGGAGTTTGCCCCAGCGCGTCTGTGATGCGTCCTTTGATTTTGCTCTTCATTTTGTCTTTATTGAGCAAATGCATGAGAAGGAGACACTAGTGAACGTGAAGTATGTGGAAAATGCCAGGGGCGAGATTGTTAAATAGTAAACACGACATAACAAATACATTAGTGTAATAAAAACAAGATGATTATAGTCAAAGAAAAATAGTTTTAAGTACAAACTTTAAAATGAAAAACCAGAAGAAATTTTGCTCTCAGGATTTTACTGTTTTTTTGGCTCCCAAATAACTCTGACAAGCTTTGTTCCCATAGCCCTAAACATTCCCAAAGAGCGGGCCTTGTCTGCTGCAAGGAGGAGTTAGGTTGAAACAGAGAGGAGAGATCTTACATTCATTTCTGCACTAAGCTGAGGAATGCGTTATTGAACTGCTTGGAGGAACACGTCTACACAAGGAGAGGATTAGCTGCTGTTGGCCTTCGTAAGGACGTGCAGTATCTGTCTGGTCCCTGAGTCCCCAGCTACCTGTGAATCTCAAGGCCTCCCTAAGTATCTGTCTGGTTCCTTAGTCCCCAGCTACTCCTGAATCTCAGGGCCTCCCTCGTGCTCCTGGGTCGTGGATCTGCAGTTTCCACTTGAAGTGCATGACCAGTGCCACCTTCCATCCTGCACCATTTTTCCCTAACATGCGTTTTCCATGAACTCTGGTTTTTTTGTTTTTGTTTTTTAAAGATTTATATATTTATTTGGAAGGGAGAATTTCAGAGAGGCAGAGGCAGAAAGAGAGAGAGAGAGAGAGAGGTAGAGGTAGTTCTTCCGTCTGCTGGCTACTCCCCAAATGACTGCAATGGCTGGGGCTGGCCAGAGGTCTGGAACTCCATCTCGATCTCCCATGTGGGTGGCAGGGGCCCAAGCACTTTCCCAGGCGCATTAGCCGGGGTGGGGGCTGGATCAGAAGTGGAGCAGTTGGGACTTAAACCTATATGGGATGCTGGCCTCACAGGCAGCAGATTAACCTCTGTGCTACAGTGCCAGCCCCATAAACTTAGCTTTTAATTCCGTTTTCCATGACCTTTTTAGGAGCCCTCCTGTCCCCTGGATCCCTTGTTGGTGCTCCTCTTGCCTCCTCTGTCTTCAGGCAGCTTTCCTTACTCTTCCTGGGTAATTTCTAGAGAAAGAGCTGGACAGAGAGACTCTCGCTTCAGGTTTTATTTGTTTATTTGGTGGCCACTTGTGAGTGACTTTGTTAAAGCTGTCGCCTCTGCTGAAACTTGACAGCGAGTGTCCGTTTGCTGGTTCCTTTGGGCCCCCTGATTACAGCTGGCTGTGTCCAGTGTCAGTCACGCAGACACCTAGTAAAAGATCGGGAAGAACCCATTCCGTGCGAGGTTACGGGAAGGGTTAGGGGAGGTTGTTTTGCATTCGTTCTCATTATTGTGGGGGAAGCAAATCTTTAAAGAAGCCTAGTAAAGCTCTAGGAAGGGAGCGGGACAGAAAGATGAAAGAGAAATGAGTAAGACAAACAGTGCTGAGAGTTGGGGCTCTGACCCTCCGTGACCTGGTGGCTCCTCCTGTCTGCAGAGGGCCCTCTGACTCCCAAACCATGCGGGAGGACTTGACGGCTGGGGTTGGGGGAGGAGAGGCCTCCCGTTGCCTGGACGACATTTGTAAAGTGTGCTGGGGAAAGTGCCCTTTGGTGAAACTGTGCTCCCACAGAGGCCAGTAACCACGTATCCAGCAGTTATTAATCTCCTGCTGGGTGTTGGGAAGATGGAGAAAGATGATTAGGTCACGGCCCTCTCCCTGGAACCACAGGTCCCCCACATGCAGCAATTCAGTGACCCATCTCTCCTTGTCCCCTCGTGGGCACAAGCGGAGAGATCAGCCACCGTTTTACCAGCGGAAGAACTGAGATGGAGAAGTCAGCCACCCAGTAAGGACGCGCGGCCCACGCTCCTTCTGTCCCGAGCCACAGAGCATTTTCCTGTGGTTCTCGTGATGGGAAGCCGGAGAGGGACGGAGCCCATTTCTCACCCAGGAAAGCAGCAGGCTTCTCTTGGTCGGTCACGGTCTTCTTGTTTGCTCCCTTGTTCGACTTTTTGCTCTTGAAAGAAAGATAAGCTCATAATGCAGTGGGGAAACTCAGGACCCCAGCCAGCACCTTAGGGTGCTGCTCCTGTTGCTGTGTCCAAGTCTGAATCCTGCTACAGGGTATTTGGGGAGGGGCCCTGCTTTTATAGATACCACGTCTATGTGATTCAACTCTTGTTTTCCTGATTTATACAGTTCAAGGTGCTAGAACCCCACTTGGAAAAATAGCTAATTCTTTAAGACCCACATAGATGCTGTACAAAAAACCATTTTTTTTTTATTTTTTTTTATTTTTATTTTTTTTTTTTATTTTTGACAGGCAGAGTGGACAGTGAGAGAGAGAGAGAGAAAGGTCTTCCTTTGCCGTTGGTTCACCCTCCAATGGCCGCCGCGGCCGGCGCGCTGCGGCCGGCGCACCGCGCTGATCCAATGGCAGGAGCCAGGAGCCAGGTGCTTTTCCTGGTCTCCCATGGGGTGCAGGGCCCAAGCACCTGGGCCATCCTCCACTGCACTCCCTGGCCACAGCAGAGGGCTGGCTTGGAAGAGGGACAACCGGGACAGAATCCAGCGCCCCGACTGGGACTAGAACCCGGTGTGCCGGCGCCGCTAGGTGGAGGATTAGCCTAGTGAGCCGCGGCGCCGGCCCATTTTTTTAAAAGAATTATTTTATTTATTTGAAAGAGTTACAGAGAGGGAGAGCCAGAGAGAGAGAGAGGTGTTCCATTCTGCTGGTTCACTCCCCAAATGACTGCAAGGGTCAGAGCTGAGCTGATCCAAAGCCAGGAGCCAGGGTTCCATGTAGGTGCAGGGCCCAAGGACTTCCACTGCTTTCCCAGGCCATAGCAGAGAACTGGGTTGGAAGAGGAGCAGCTAGGACTAGAACTGGCGCCCATATGGATGCCGGCACTGCAGGCTGAGGCTTTAACCCACTGTGCCACAGCGCCGGCCAAAAAAAAAAAAGCAACTTTTAAAAGAGAAAAAAAATGTTAAAAATATATACGAGTGATTAGTGCTTAAATCAGATTATTCAGCATAATTTTTAGACACGCTTTAGCTTAAACCAGGGCTTTGAATTTTTTTTTTATATATTTTTTGGCAATATACATGGTGTGAAACTTTTTGTTAAAGGAAACCTTTAAGGTGTTAAATTATCACCTTGAATAAAATGCCAACTATTAATGCGTGAAGAGTTCCAAGAAAATGCTTGATAAATGCTCTTTGTCATTTCTTCCTAGAAATCAAAGCCCAAGTTTTACGTGCTCTCCATGTTTCCTTACCCTTCTGGCAAGCTGCACATGGGCCACGTCCGCGTCTACACCCTCAGCGACACCATTGCGAGGTTCCAGAAGATGAGAGGGATGCAGGTAAGCCGGGATGCCAGCTGAAGAGCCCTGGTCTGCCCCGCTCAGGACGAGAGTGTAGCAAAAAAACAAAGAAAACCAGCACTGGTTAAGATCGGGACAGCTTTGAAGAGAAACAAGACAAGCTCAGGGTCCGCTTTATGTATCAGAAGACATTCTGATAAAGCCCTAGGTTCACTGGGTGGCAGTTGTGTGTTGGGTGTTGGGCTGGATATGGAGATGGGGAGGGGGAGGGGTAGAGAGGAGGTAGGGAAAGGTAGGTAAGAATGGAGGGGGCACTGAGACCTCCACAGGAGGAGCTCTGCCACGGAGAAGTGTTGCACGGGCAGGGAAGCCAGTTGTACAGACAGGGAGCAAGTGCTGTGAGTGGCAGGTGGGGCCACCAGGGATTCTCCTTTCTGTGTGATGTTTTCCATATTCTATAATGAGCATGTATTTGTTTTATAATGAAAAAAAGGAAACGTGTTTGGGGAATAGCAGCCTAGGGGAATTAGGAAAGACTTCACTGCAGAGGGAGTCAGATGTGGGTCTTGAAGGCTGCAGTGCAATTGACCAGGAGAGAGGACAAAGGCCCCCTCCTCGGCTGGTGGGGGTTGGTCTCCCTTTACCTCAGCACCTGCTCTTCACTCTGTAGCAACCTGTGAGAGAGGGTGGGAAGGGTGGGAAGGATCCTAGCACCTCCCTTCCAGGACTCCAGCCAGGCTCTCCTATATGTGGTGCGGGCGTCCCTGCTGGGGACTGAGCTGCTGTGGCACGTGCCCGCCCTGGCTGCTGCTGTTAGGATAATCTGCCTCTCTCAGTGCTTTCTACGGGCTTTGCATTTATAAATGTGAGCGGATCTCTTGTCACAGTTGGTTTGAAATTTTACATTGAGCTGCCATTATCAGCAAAGAGTAGCCCTAAAGAGGAGATCAGGAGGTAATGTCTCTTTGTCACTTAAAGAGTTAATAACTTTAACCGACCAGAGTCTGCGATTTGTATTCTGCTGTAACAAGATACTCACAGCCTTTGTTTCCCTGGTTTGTGTCAGGTGCTATTTTCCCCCAGACGTTGTTGTTAATTTTTCCTGCTATGTTTATATTAGGAAGGGGCAGGGCGGAATGAATTGGCTGTGTGCCCGAAGTACATTTCTTTTTTTTTTTTTTTTTAAAGATTTATTTATATATTTGAAAGGCAGAGTTAGAGAGAGGCAGAGACGGAGAGATCTTTATCCACTGGTTCACTCTCCAAATGGCTACAGTGGCCGCAGCTGTGCCGATCCAAAGCCAGGAGCCAGGAGCTTCTTCCAGGTGTCCCATGTAGGTGCAGGGGCCCAAGGACTGGGGGCATCTTCTACTGGTTTCCCAGGCCAAAGCAGAGAGCTGGATCAGAAGTGGAGCAGCCGGGACTCGAACTGGCACCCACGTGGGATGCGGGCCCTGCAGGCGGTGGCTTTAACCACTACGCCACAGCGCTGGCCCCCTGAAGTACATTTCTTTATCTGACTGCAATTCTTCAACTAGATCTGTCCTGGTGATTTACTTAGGCCCGCTTATTTTGGATAATTAGTGAGTGCTGGCAAATTGCTGAAGGCTAAGCCTTTACAGCAAACCTGTGCGTTTATGGTAGGGGGCCCGGGAGCCTGGTGGTAGATAGGTTGAGTGAACAGGTTTCAGTGGGATTCTGATGGCTTTGAATGGGATGAGATGTTACACAGGAAGTTCAAGGCAGAGCCCCAGGCCCAGAGGAACTGGCATCCTGGCAGGCAGCTCAGGCCCAAAAGACAAAGGGGAGTCCTCCTACCAGAACTGAAGGCCAAGTTCAGGCTAGGCTCAGGAATTGGCACATCTGTGGATTGAACCCAGTTCTACAACTTAACTGGCCAAGTGACCCTGCACAAGTCATTGAAGTTTCTGAATCTCACTCTCTCTCAGCTTTAACATAGGGATCGCAGTAATCCTTCCTTCTCAGAGTAGTTGTAGGGGTTAAATGAGATAGTGCCAGTGTCTGGCACATAGTAACCCCCCTAAGTGACAGTCGTAATTGCCGTTTGTACTGATCTGATTACTGTGCAGCGTCAGGAGAGTGACTCACCGCCGTTTAATCAATGAGTCCTGTTCTCCTGTGCCCGGAGCGTGCCGCCCAGAGCTGCCCTCGGAGAAGCAGCTTGACCGCGTATAATTGCCTGCAGTCCCTCTGGCCTATCCTGTGACTTGAATTGTGCCCGAGGTTGGAAACCACTGTTTCTTAATTCCAGTGTTTATTAGAAAGAGGCAGGACAAGATGCATTGGCTCTGTGCCTCCAGTACAATTCCTTACGTAACCGTGACTTCAGCTGACTTGTCTTACTTTTTTTTTTTCAACTTATGTCAACTGATTTTGGACAATTAGTGAGTGCAGACAATTTGTACGTGGTGACTGTGCGTGTAGGTGCATGGAATCGTCTTTTCTTTTCTTTCTTTCTTTTTTTTTTTTTTTTTTGACAGGCAGAGTGGACAGTGAGAGAGAGAGACAGAGAGAAAGGTCTTCCTTTGCCGTTGGTTCACCCTCCAATGGCCGCCGTGGCCAGCGCGCTGCGGCTGGCGCACCGCGCTGATCCAATGGCAGGAGCCAGGAGCCAGGTGCTTTTCCTGGTCTCCCATGGGGTGCAGGGCCCAAGCACCTGGGACATCCTCCACTGCACTCCCTGGCCACAGCAGAGAGCTGGCCTGGAAGAGGGGCAACCGGGACAGAATCCGGAGCCCCAACCGGGACTAGAACCCAGTGTGCCGGCGCCGCTAGGCGGAGGATTAGCCTAGAGAGCCGTGGCGCCGGCTGGAATCGTCTTTTCAATCCTCAGTTTAGTTGCTCTGGTTAAGATGGCATGCCATCTTTTTGGGGTGCTTTTTGGTTTCCCTGAAATTATATTTTTGTTCATTTTCTTTTTTTTAAGATTTATTTATTTGAAAGACAGAGTTAATGGTGGGGAGGGGAGAGGGAGATATCCTTCATCTGCTGGTTCCTCCCCACAAGGCTGCAATGGCCAAGACTAGGCCAAGCTGAAGCCAAGAGCTGGGAGCGTCATCAGGGTCTCGTGAGTGCAGGGGCCCAAGCACTCGGGCCATCCTTTGCTGCTTTCCCACGTGCATGGATTAGAAGTGGAATAGCCCAGATACGAAGTGGCGCCCATATGGGATGCCAGTGTCCCAGGTGGTGGCCTAACTTGCCATGCCACAGCGCACGGCCCCTTGGCTGACCATTTCTAAATGCTGTGGAAAAGAGAAATGGAAGTCTCAGTCTGGTCCCTGAGATCCGGTGTACCCACTTTCTCCGTAGTTTAAATATGGTAATTTGGGGTGGCACTGTGGTGCAGCAGATTAAGCCACCACTTGGGATGCCCATATCCCACATTGTCAGAGTGCTGGTTCACATCCTGACCACTCAGCCTCCAATGCAGCCTAGGAGGCCACAGGCGATGGCTCAAGTACTCAGATCCCTGCCACCCTCGTAGGAGACCGGGACAGAGTTCTGGGCCGAACCTTGGTTGTTGGACATTTGGGAGTGAACCAGCAGATGGAAAATTGATCTTTTCTCTCTTTCTGTCTTTTGCTCTCTCTGTTGCTCTGCCTTAAAAATAACAAACATTTTTTTTTAAATATAGTATTTAAAAAATTATGGTCCCTGTTAACACAGATGTACACAGATACACCTGTAATCTTGGTTTAATAGATATTACCATTTAACTATATTAACCTCAGCACTTTAAGATAAGGGTCCAGCGTTGTGGTGCAGCGGTTTGAAGCCATGGCTTGCAGCACTGGCATCCCATACGGGCGCAGGTTCGAGCCCCAGCTGTTCCACTTCCAATCCAGCTCCCTGCTAATGCGCCTGGGAAGTCAGCAGAGGATGGCCCAAGTGCTTGGTCTCCCTGCACCCATGTGGGACATGAGGAAGAAGTTCCTGGCTCCTCGCTTCAGCCTGGTCCAACCCTGACCATTGGGGCTATTTGGGGAGTGAACCAGCAGGTGCAAGATCTTTCTGTCTCTTTCTTTCTAGCTCTACCTTTCAAATAAATAAATATATCTTAAAAAAATAAAAATGTTACAGGCTCAGTTGTACCTTTCTACAATCAAATTCCAATCTTTAAATTTATCGGGCATTATCCTGAGGTTAATGTGTATCTACCCTTTGCTTTCATGTTTTCATGCTTTTACTCTATATGCTGTTCAAGGATACACACTTACATGGAGTTTTATGTGCTTCAAATTTTATATAAAAGATATCTTATTAATATTCTGCATATTTTCTTAGTATTTTATTTCAAGCTTTATCCAAGCTGTCTCTAGAGCTGGTTCATCCATGATAAGTGCCGTATAATTACAGCAATAGTTTAATTAATGCATGTATTTGAAAGGCCAAGAAACAGACAGATAGACACAGAAAGCTCCCATCTGCTGGTCCACCCCCAAATGCCCACAACTGAGGTTGGGTTGGGCCAAAACTGAGAGCCAAGAACTCCATCCAGGTCTCCTGTGCGAGTGTTAGGGACCCAGCTACCTGAGCCATCACCTGTTGTCTTCCAGAATGTGCATTGACAGGAAGCGGGATCAGGAGTGGAGCTGGGACATGAACCCTGGCATTCTGACATGGGATGCGTGTGTCCTAACTGACATCTTAACCATGGACCAAGCGCTCACCCTGAATTACGATTGTATTGTCCATTTTCATATTGATAGACTTTAAAGTTATTTCCAAATGGTTGTTCCAGTGAACATCCTAGTGCCTGACACACTGGCCTGTGGGGAAGTGCAGCACTGGGTCCTAGAGTGTACATAGCAAGTGTTACATCCTGCCAAATTGCTGTGCAAATGTTGATGCTGGTTCGTACACCCACTAGTAATGAATGATGCTTCTCACTGTCCTCCGTCCTTGCCAACGCTTGGTAACGTTAGACCTTTCTTATGGTTTGGGTAGTAGTTTGAGTGTTCCTCAAAGACTTTGAGTGTCTTTAACTCAAAGTGTTAAAGACTTGAACCTTGGAGTCT